CAGTTCCTGGCAGGGATTTGGGGTGTGCAATTCAATCAGCGTCTCCCTTTTTGAAACAGGGGGGGACGAGCGCTGCAGATTTTAGGAGGGGAGCAGAAGACGGTGCCGATGGCTCAGCAACGCCGTGAGTCTGCCTCCTCACACAAAAAACACCCCAGCACTTTTCCTTCCGAGCAGCCCAATTTTTCAACTCAAAAAAGAAGGGATTCGAGGCAGCCCAGCCTCAAAATATCCATAAAGGGACAAGTCAGCTCTCGCAGATGCCAGGGAAGCGGAAAAGCTGCTCACAGAGTAGGGGGAAACCGCACGGATCTGGGTCTGTCACTGCTCCGCAGCGAGCAAACCTCGGCCGCCGTGGCTGAGAAGACAAAGCAGGACCTCCAGTAGTGTGAAACCGAACCGTCTATGTACAAAACTCCTGCCCAGGGTCGCAGCTCTCCACTCGCTGCCTCGGGGAAGCCAGGCTGACTTATCCCTTTAATAGTGGGTGCTCAACCCCACGGCCGGAGTCAGGATATCTCATTGCCGAAGACCTCGAGCACCAGCGGCGTGAGCTGCATGCTGTGCTCGGGCTGGAAGGAGAGGCAGCGGTACTGCTTGGAGTGCTGCTCGTTCAGGCTCCGAAGGTCGGCCAGCTTCTGGATCATCTTGGCGTAGAGCAAGCGGCTGCCGGGAGGAGGGTGCCTGCAGCGGATGTAGGTCTGGAGGATCTCCGAGAGGCGATCCTGGAGGGATTCCACCAGCGAGGTGTCCTGTACGCCTGGGCGATCTAGGAAACACCACGGATGCAGGGTGATTTCCTTCCCTTTTCCCAGCTGGCTTCGATGGAGAGGCAGGGAAGGGTGACATTATTCGGGACACGGCCAAAACCTGGCAGGTCAGCGACCTCGGGGGAATGAGTGGGCTCCTACCTGGGGACAGGATGCAGATGGCCATGAGGAGCACGTGCTCTTCTTCGTGAAGGTTCAGCTTCTTCAAGCCAATCTGGAATTTCACGAGCGGCTCGAGCAGGTCCATGCTGTGGCCAGCTGGGAAGAGAAAGGACCTTTAGGACAGCCTGCTCTGGAACAAGATCTTCCACAGCTGAGGGACGAGCGTGGAGCTCGGCGGCTCCTCTTTCAGCACAGCAGAGAGCCAGGAGAGTGGAAGAGGAGTTTTGATACAGCTTAAAGCACGTTGGTTTTTAATTGTACTCTTCTCCCCAGTCATTTCTCTAAAGCAGGAGATTATGGAGCAGATTTTGCGTTCGAAATCCGTAAAGACAACTAACCTCCAGACATTTTGTCTCCTTATCATCACTTCCACGCTGCACCCTGCCTTGCACAAGCATCACAAACCCTACCTCGGGTACCCAGGGCCCTCCCTGCAAGCAGATCTCTTCCTTGCGTTCAGTGGGTGCCAGCTGCCCCGTCCCCGGTCCCAACACGCTGCTCGCTCCGCCTGGTTCCCCTGGGATCTCTCTCTGCCCTTGCAACGAGGATCTCGGCATCCCCGGGTTACTCTAAGGCTCTTCCAAGTGCAGGGAGAGATTTAAGGTCCATATAATATCACTGGCAAACCCTGTTCTCTGTGCTGGTCCCCAAATCCTCGAGTAGGGGAGGTTTAGGGCAGGATTCACCAGCTTTCCTAGCAGAAGGGCTTCCTGGCTGCAGAGCAGCGGCAGTGGGAAGGCACAGCGGCTTTCCAGCCTTCACAGCAGCTCGGGGCAAACTGAATTCAACCCCTGCTGCGAGGCAGAGGAGTTGGGGACAGCTCTGAGCTACCGTCACGCTTTGGCTTTGCTTTTCTTCAGGAGTTAACGGCTTTTTGCAGCCACCCGGTCCGGCTGCAGGACACACACATGTCCCGCGGCCCAGGGCTCGGGAGATGAGAGAGCAGGGTTGATGCCGGGACGAGGGTCTCAGCCCAGCCACGACACCACCAAGCTGCTGTGTACGCATCCCTGCTTGCAGACTACTCAGTACGGGATTTTTTGCATTTGAATTTAAGGTTGGGATGACGTTTCTTAGCCCACAGCACGCAGGAGAGCGCCTGGCAGCCTTTACCTTGGGTGACGTCGCTGACCCTGTACTTGAAGTCATTGCTACCGCAGGTCCACGTCATGTCCTCGAGGGTGAAGGACTGGTTCGAGCGCAGCATGATCACCTCAATGGCGCTGGATTTCAGCAATCTGCTGCCAGGTCCCTGGGCAGGGGAAAGAAGGTGATGTGAGACCTGTCCAGCCAGCAACGAGACAGAAACCTGCCACCCATGTGTCAGGTAACCCAGCCCCTTTGCTGGGGGCACCCCAGCTTCTCCCTTCCCCCGGGTTTCCAGGAGGTATTTCTGCAGCTACATTTATTGGGTGGCATCACCCAGTGTGCCAGGCACCAGCCTGAAGTTAAACAGGACCTGAGGTCCTTCACAAACCAGGATGGGGACCACTGAGCATCTTAGGAGCTCAGGCATTTTGCTGACGGAGTCTGGGTGAATCAGGGTAAAGAGAGGAGAGGAGTAACCCCAGGAAGGAGGAGAGACAGAAAACGTGAAAGTAGGAACAGACCTGGGAGGGGAAGAGAGCCTGAGGGATAGCTGTGAAGATGAAACAGAGAAAAACAATCTGGCTGTGAAGGGTAGGACGGGATTCCTGAGAGTGGAAAACAATCACGGACATCGGATCTGAGAGCAAAGGTCTCACCTGAATCCTGGGATCATTTTAGCAAAGCCGATCACCTTCTGTATGCTGTAGCTGACCAGGTCAGCCAAGTGCGGGAGCATGGAGAAGTGGGACAAGTCGATGTTCACGGAGGAGCTCTCGTCATTGTCCTCGGAGAGGACCATGTTCGAAAACATCTGGGGCTCCACAGACTCTGGAGAGAGGGAGACGGTCAGAGGGTAACTCGGGTGTAGGCAAGATATTATGGGTGAGGGGAATGATGCCAAAAAAACCCGTCCTGCCGGGCTGCCAAGAGCGTCAAGATTTTTGCACCGAGGCATTTAATTCCTCTCCTGTGCTGTGATCAGGTCTAACCGCAGCCAGAGGAGCGACGATGCAGCCCAGCATTCACGTTCACGCTCCTCTTGGCCGTCCTGGAGGGCTCAGACACACAGAGGTCTGCAGGGCCACGATCCAGCCAAGCACTTCATGGTTTTTGCTCACGAAAAGCCTTTGCAACCCCCCCAGGAGGGTCTTACAGTTCAATAAGCTCCCCAGAAAAGGTCAAACAAGGATCTGAGGGCCAGACTGAAGAAAAGCTGCTGCACTTCTACCTCTGTTGCCTACGGAGAGGCGAGCGTGGTACCTGGAAATGTGCTGAAGGCATCGGAGCCAAAGAGGTCGGTGGAGTCCTCCGAGGACAAATCCTGGGTGAGGATGGAGGAAGACCTTGCTGCCCCCTTGTTGCTAGAGGTGCTTCTCACGGGGGGCTGGAAGAGAGAAGAGGACACGAGGAACGGGGCTGAGAGAGCAATTTGGTGGCAGTTGTTTGCCTGCTGCCAACAGCATCAAGGGTTTTGCACTGGGAATTTTAACTCCTCTCTAATGAGGAGTTGTGGGATGAAACAGGTTTGGTGCATCTGAGCAGGAACCGCTTGGTCCCATGCATGGGAATCGGGGCTGGCGTGCCCCAGACGTACCCGAAACTTGGTGAAGTCGGCGTACGTGGGGTCATAGGTTTTGCGATGAGCCTCGAGGAGGATGTCGATGACTTTCTGCTGCTCCTCTGAGAGTTTGGGCTTCAGGCTCTCCTTGAGTGCCTCCTCCTCCTTGCGCTTCAGTATCATCTCACGCTTCCTCTGAACCTCTTCGTCCGTCAGGATGACTGCAGGGACAGGGAAAATGTCAGAAATAGGCGCAAGGAGCAACCCCGGGCTACCGCAGCCAGCATCCCCATCACCTCATTAATCAGTTATTCAACTTGCATCAACCCCATCCTGCTCCTCTCCTGCCGGATCACGGCTTCCCGTTACAAGACCGGCACGGTTTATAGCCCACTTGGGTGCTTTTAGGCAAAGACCAGGTGCGCTAAGGTCACGTCAGCGCTGCAGCCTTGCTGTTTGCTCTGTCCTTTCAGGTGAAAGAAATCTTGATCCTGCAAGACCCAGGCTATTGGGTTCATCTCGCTCCAGCGCTGCTGTCAGCGCTGCGACAACAGAGGGAGCCCGATACGGCACCGCTCAGTCTCTGCATCCAGCTCCAACGCTGCAACAGCGATGGTCTGGGTATCCAGCAGCACTTCTGCAGCATCGCAAGTGTTTTTAAGCTAAGGGGACATATAAATATAGCCCCACTCCCAGGGTTGGGTGTTTATGGCTTGTATTACAGGTGACAACCTTCGGCAGCGGCCAAGGGTTGGACTCAAAGGCGATACGCAAGGCTTCTCCCATTTATTTAGGGAAGGGGAGCGTCCACAGGCAATTTGGGCTCAAATCTTACCTTTATAAAAAGAGCTTAAAGACCTGATAAGCCTCACAGGGTTGAAAGAGAAGAAAAGCAACAGGGAGCTGCAACGATCTCTTGGGGTAGCAACCCCTCATCCTCCTAAGAGTCACACATTCACGAAAGCACTCGTTAATACGCATCTACCAGCGGGTCCTAAAAATAGCGATGCCCATTCCTCAAGCCGTTGTGAGCCCTTTAACCAGTCATTAAAGAAAACTTCAAGCACGTTATCTGATGAGAAGGCAGCTTTCCGCCTGCCTCGGGCCGCAGAGGGATTTGATGCTGGGCGAGTCGAGGTGGAATTTGGGACGAGAGGTTGGCGAAGGGCAGAGGGAGCCACGGTCACAGGACTCGAGGCAAGGAACTGTTTGCAGTCCCTGCTCCCTTCTGTCACCTTTAGCCGACGGCATTTTTCCAATACATTTTCAAATTTGCACAATCTCAGAGGGGACTTGAAGATTTCGGAGGCACGGGAACGACCGGCTCGGGCTGAAAGGTCGCTCCCACGATCGGCACGTTACGGGCAGCTCTATCAGGGACAGCACGACTGCTTGGGGAGAAAAATTCGGATTTTGCCATCTCCCATCCTGGTTCTTCTTACAAAAGCATCAGATCCATCGAGGTGCTGCATGCAAGAAGGGAAACTGTTCAGCGATGAGGCAGCATCTGTGGGGAAAGAGCCACGCGGGGCTGGGAACGAGGACGGGGCAAAGAGCTGAGTGCTTGGGCTGCGGCCGTGGTGTTCAAAGTGGTCTGTCCCGAGCATCGGGGCTTCGGAAGGGATTATTGCAGGTGTCTACACCAAGCAAATTTCAGATCCTGCAAGGACTAGATGAGCCTTAAAGGTCTCTTCCAACCCAAACTATTCTATGATTTTATGAAAATTAGGAAGCACGTGCAGAGCGGATCGGAAAGAAATGGATATTTCTGTGCTGGGGCAAGACTGCAAGGGAAATCAGCTTGGGATTTCCCACCCACCTTTAGGAAATCCAACCCTCAAACCGATTTGAGACAGTGAGGCAGCAGCATTTCTCAGGCTGGTAGGAGCTGAAAACCAAAAGGATTTCCCAAAGCATCACTTTGGAGAGGGAACAAACGCTGGCAAGGTTTGTTCC